GGGGGCGGGGGGAGGGGGACAGGCAGCAGGGGATAAGCTGCTTGATTCCCCAAGCCACCTGCCCCCCACTGCCTACCCCAGCACCTGCTTCCCTGACACTGCTTTTCCCACCACAGCAGTTGAGGGGAAGAACAATTTTAAGATGACCTTCCAATAATTCAATTCTATACATGGAAAAGTATAACGAATTTATAAACTATCCATAAATAGAATCTAATTATTGAGAGGTCAGCATAGATTCTGGGGTATCTTGCATTTGGTAAATATAGTAATTAATTTTCAGTACTTTATTAAATAATATTGTCTTTTCAAGTAGCAATATAGAGCAAATGGGTGCTAAAATCATTGCACAAAAGACCAAAGATAAAAGCACATGGTTATCTATACAATAAAGACTTAGCCAAAACCCATTCACTTTGGATCATGCTCTACGGAGCTGAGAGTGAAACTCCAACTCTTCCAGCTTCTGATTGTCTGGACACAGCCACATAGTCCTGATAATTCATAACCTGTTGTGCCAAATTATCATAAAACTTCATAGCTTGGGGTGGTGAATATAGTCATGTGTGTGAATTCAGACTAGTTGCCTCTATCCCTACTTGTAGCAAGCAGTTTAACAGTTGAAGGGATACTACTTTCTATTTAGGACTAAGTTGTCTCTAGTCCTTACAGTTGCACTGGATGAGATTTCCTCAAGTCATCTTGTTTAAGGCTAAACAATCTTGTGTCTTGATTCCATACAAAGCACAGGAGTGGCAGAGGCTGTGCTCTCTGAGGAAACTGGGAAAAGGGAAGAAAGAATCGGGGAGGCAGTAGGCAAAGCTGTGACTCGGACACCCAGAAGCACTGCCCCAGCAACTCAAAATCCTATTGGGTCAGTAAACTTAACTACCAGGGACTAAATAGCTCATGCTCTCACCTAAATTTTTTTCTGCTCAGAATTTCAGAGTATTTTCATGAACATTAGAAATTTTGGCCTGCTTCTGTAAAGTGGAGAATTATTTTTAGCACTATGTTACGGATGAGAAAACAGACACAATGAAACTGGTAAACAGCTCATCCAAAGACGCATATGAAAGCTGAGGACTTAAACTCCCCTGACAGCAAACCCTTAGACAGAAAATATCAAGTTCAAATGTAAAAAGTATGAGAGACATTTTGTGGTGCTTGTGTTTACTGTATTTGATCCCAACGCACGGATACCTATTAGGTGCTAAAATGATACCAAAATGCCCTGGGTAACTTGTCTTTTATTTACACCTGTAAAACATCCAGCACTTAAAGCAAAAACCTAGACGACAAAATGTAATTAAACAGGAATCCAAATCTTCCAGGAGGCTTAATAGAGAAATCAATTGTCTTTGCAATCACCTTGATCCAGAGTATTAATAATTCATCAGAAATGAAAAAAATCAATGCTGTCAAAAGAGGATGTGTTATATGGAGCAGATGTATTGGGATATATGGCTATGTGAAGTATAGGATTTCACTTTTTTGTATGTTTTCAAGTAGGGACATTTTAGGAAATTCCCTTCCTAATCCAGCCTAACATACTAATAAAGACTTAATGATTAAACATAATTACTGGATTAATCAGCATAAGAACAAGTTCTTATTCCTACCGTCTCTATATTCTAACCCTTCTTATTATTACAATTATATTTTTCTGCTTTAATATTGATCACTAGAAAGATATACCAACAATGACCAGAAATCTTTGAAAACCTTTAGCAATGTGGAAATCAATTTGAAATTTTATGTTTAAAAATTCTATTGTTCATTTCCAGAATCTGCTTTAGATCCCAAGTAATATTCCAACTAGTGTGTATTACTGATTACTCAGATTAATTAGATATCAATGAATTAGAAAATGTATTTAAAGTGATTTTAATAGAAAATTGCTATACATGTACTGAATATCGGTAATTGCATCTGGGCAAACACGGCAAAAAATCTATGAATATTCATTCTAATTTTTAAATGAGTACATTTCAGCTGTGTTTTGACCTTTTTGTGTTTGCTTTCCACCCATTTTCTAGCAAAAGAGCTTGTTAGCTGCAGCGTTGGCCACGACAGTACATTTTAGGCAGAACGTTCATAAAAAGCCAGTTGTATCTCTATAATAATGAGCACTTGCAAGAGAAATCTGATCTTAGAGTTTAGACAGTGACATGGAGACTAGAGGATTGAAAAAAAGGCAAGAATCAATCCCTTAGCGCTCTGTGGTCTAGCTGGCTCTGTGCTCTGGGTGCATACTAAAGGTGAGGTGGACAGGAAGGTACAGTGTTTTTCTGTGTGCTTTTGCTGAAAATATTTGGAGAGAGTTCATAACAACAATGCATCCAATGAAACGGCCTCATACCTCTTGAATCCATGTTAATGGCAACATACCCATTCAAGCAATGGCAAGGCTTCTTTTGACTTAGGTGAGATCAGGCTCAGGCACATAGTCAAGAAAAAGTATGTCTGCATTTGCTTAGCTTTATGCAATGGAGTAGCTCCACTGATGTTCATGACACTACTGAAATACTTACATTAAGTTTATCTATGCAATTTAGTGGAGTGAGGCCTGTGTCTAATCTCCCTGTAGCAAAAGGAAGCCTTGGCATCATTCTTAGTTTCCTGTCATTTAATTTCAGCTGGTCAGTGCTTGTGTTCAGTTAAGAAAAGTAGGCTAGGGCTCATCCCTGGCCAACCTGAAAGAGCCCAATATAACAGGGTGGCGAATATCTTGTTTGCCATGAATTTCAGCTGGAGTTCTGCATGCTCCAGAATGACGAAGAAAGAATGGATGTAACCCAAGGTAAAGAAAACAGCTGGGATTTTGAGTTTGATTTACTAACCAAAGACAGGCAAGTTCATAAGAATAACTTTGTGGAACTTGAGAGCCCTCAACGCAGTAGGATCAGTGCAGATACAGACCTATTTACAGGGAGTACTGAATACTCCGTGAACTCATTCATTTTCCTTCGGTTTACTGGGACTGGGCAAGCCACCAGATGCTTGAGGGCTTTGTTGGCACCTTACCTATGAAATTTCTCAAATACCTAAGCTGTGTTATTCTTCAGGGAAGGATAATGGTTTTGCTTATTGCCATCACTTGCACTGTTCCTGAATGGGGAAGCCACAAATCTAACACCTGAAAACCTTCAAGATCTTTCCTCTTCACCCTCAACAAATCTGCAAAAGCTGTTGAAAATAAATCAAATTTATCACAATTAAAACAGAAATCTCTGTTCAAGCATGAATCATTTCTCATTTTAAATCCAAATTCTGCCCTATTAATATGAGTGTTATTTCAGTGCCTCCAAGTACAGGAATTATGTTTCAAAACCGTTGATGTGGAAAAAATGCAATGAAATCTGAGTAGCTTTCTGTTTCGTAGCATGTCTAAATGTAACTGTAGTTTTATAAAACTCTAACTCTTCAGATATGATCCACCCTGAGGAGAGAGCTTGTACAAAGCCTATTTAACACTTATGTCATATTTTTTCTAGTGAAGAAAATGCTGCAGCGGTTATGATCTCAGCCTAGCACTTGGGGGATTGTTGTCCTGTTAGGCAGCAAATTTCCCTTTGTGAGATCGGGTAAGTACTTAGCTTTTTTGTGTCTAAATTCTCCACTGGGGAGAAAAAAAGCACTTCCCAGAATTGTGATCAGGTAGCCTACAGAAGTATCAAACATACAGCACATAGGACAGATCCACCTCTTAGAGCCACATCATCCGGCCCCCCATGCAGCCCTGGGGTCCCAGAGTAATCCACAAGCAGCATGTAAGGAGTGCCGGGTGGCCTTGTAAGCTGCACAGGGCACCCGTTCCTGCTCATGTCCTACAGTGGCAGAGCGGCCGCCATGAGCAGCACAAGCCCACAGCAGAGTTTGACACCCCAGCCTATATGAAAGATTGGGAGGAGATCATATGTTAACGCTGTTGATGTTTACACAATTGCTGAAGGCAGAGAAATATTTGGAAGGGTTCATTAGGATTTTAGTGACATCTGGTAGCTCTGCTCAGTGCTCATCTCCACCACTCTTGCACAAGCAACATGGTAACAATAGATCAAATTTTCAGCACAGTCTATCTGCACAGCTGTAGCTGACTTTATTTTGTCCTATTGCAATATATGTCTATGTGCATATGTGTGTACAAAATGAAAAAGAAGATCTCATGGTGAATATATATATACATATGTGTATATATTTGTACACATTACATACATACATATATATACATACATATATATATATATACACATGTGTGAAAGTGTGAAAGAATTAATTAAATTGTAATTAATCAATCCATTGATTAATGCATGCATATTCATTCCAATTAAAACTGGTTTAATTAATCCTGGGACTCAATAGAATTTCAAAAGACAGGTTAATGAAAAAGAACTCATTAAAAAGCCTACCACGCTCAGATGGAGATGGCATGAGTTACATAAGGAATTAATCTGATTCTTTATAAGAATGGTGTTTCCATGGTTACTCAGTCAAGTACAAGGTACACCCCTTCCTCTTCCGCTTTACTGCCTAGGCAGCTAGAGATACAGAGGCTTCATAGCTCATCTCAGACGTATAGAACTTGGCATCATCTTGTGATTTAAATTTCAAAGGAAAGTACAAAAAAGTCTCTGACCAAGATCAAATCCCTCTAAAACTGCAGAGCTTGTGTTTTAACTCTGGGAAAGTTAGCAATCTCCTCAGCAATCGGTTCTATGGAAGGAGAAGAACTGCACAATTCAGTCAGTGGAGAAACATGCTTTTCTTTTAGTTAGGAAGTACTTTATGTTTGGCCAGTCATCTATGTTGCCTAACAATGGTATCACACATTTACTATGGAAGCCAGTTCTGAGACCAGACTTCAAAGACTAGTTTGTAGCCTGAAGAACAGAAAAGGACAATATGTTATTTATAAGGTCCATAGGCTGCTACTGGTTTCTTCCCTGAACTATACTTCTTTGCTACTTTTAGAGGAAAACCCTTCTTGTAGCAAGCCAGTTCAACCATATATGACTACCTTTAGGCAACCAAAGACTCACAGATGCTAGGGTCGGAAGGGACCTCAACAGATCATCGAGTCCGACCGCCTGCCCAAGCAGGAAAGAGTGCTGGAGTCAGATGACCCCAGCCAGATGCCTATCCAGCCTTCAAGATCCATTGAGATCCATTGAGCCAGAAGAACAAATAGGAGGGAGCATAATTGTCTAGCCCGGTGATTCCAGCACACCCCATGGAGCTCTGCTATCTGTTGCCAAGATAATTACTAGTTTTTAACCAATGTAAATGGAATGGAATGTAAAGGTATAACCAGTCCTGGCAATATTCTGACTTTATGAAGCTTATGCTCTTGGCTTCCCAATGTCCCAGCTTTACCATAAGTGGTAGAGTTTGCCCTCATCTAGTCTGCCCTAGGCCTGGTGGTTAGTGAAAGATGTGAGTTTGGGTACCCAAATGCTGAAAAGGGCCTAGAACCCATGTCACTAACTCTTCAGGCAAACACACCAACTACTAGGCTATTGTGTAACAAAGTTTGGGGTGGGGAGTCATCTTTACCAGGGCCCATATTCACAGTGAAAGTCCCATCAGGGCTGTGCTTTTCACTGAACTGATTGCCACTGTCAGTATGAGTAAACTGACTATCCTCCGGGTTTTCTGGGTCCTGAGATAGCACAGGTGTCTAATGTGTAGCCCTGAGTCAAACACCTAATCTCCAAGAAGGAACAGGAGTTTGGATATACCTCTATTTCTAATGCTTCTTACTGTCTGTTGCCTTGATACCATAGTGAATGATACATTAGAAAGAGACAGACAGGTAGAAACATGGTTTTAAAAAACTGCCTGTGGGAGTTGGTAATTATGCCAGTCACTCTTCCATCTACTGCAGAAATGGTTAGCTTAATGCACTAAATATAAATGCTGTTCGAGGAGCCAACAGCTGTATTATTCCTTAAGAGCCAGACAGACACTCAACAAATCCCACACTTGCTTGGGACTTTGCTCAGTCAAACTTTTATGGAAATTGATACAAACAGTGTCTGAATAAAGTGTGCAAGTTAAACGCACTGATACTGCAGCTGCATATTAGAAATAGAAGCAGTAAATTCTGAACCTGAAGTTACTGCCAGTTTTCTTCTTCATTAGCCTGCCTGTCTCTCTCTTTCAGCTTCTTCTGTAATACAAATGCATATACAGTGCATTAAACAATTTTTCACTATATTTCTCCTTTTATAGCATCTGATCACTGTGTAAACTTACAGTTCCTGGCCGTGGGTATGGCACTCGTCCTTGATAAGGAACCCACTGGTAGTTGGGGCCATCTCTGTGAGCATAGGGACCCAGAAACACCCTTCTCACATCAGTCATGCTGTACATACACACTGCCGACCCCTTGAAGATGTTACTAAAATGAGAGGGGGGAAAAGAAAAATCAGTTTCTTCACATTATCTGTCAATTTAATCACAGGGCAGCTGTGGGAGTAATGGCTTGTTGCTTTTTAATGTATTACACATATTGATTTTCAAAACTGACATGCTTTCTCAGAAATCGCCTGCCCATTCCCTGGGAAAGTTCAGTTGAAATGATACAAATCTCTTAGATGTTTTCTAAACTGAATGGCTTGCTATTCTACAACTGTTTATATAGGGTCAAAAATTCCACTGGAGTGAAGTTCAGTAGGGATAATCTTAGGGTAGGAAGTGTTTGCCATGAAAAAGAGGCTCTTTATTGGAGATGGTGTTTTCAGATTTTCAGCCCTGGTTTTATAAAAGAACTACTTTAAAAAAGGAGGAAGGACAAAAAGAAAACTTTTATAGCATCATTTCTAAAATGTAATTTACTGGTGCATATAAGAGAAGAAGAGATAACGCACATGATTCATAATAGTGGCCTTCACGTGAAAGGCTCTGTAACCACTTCTTTGGTTTACAGAATGGTTTTCATATTCCTCCTGATTATTTGGGTTTTTTTACTCATTTGGACAATGTACACTGCAATCGCAAGGCTGTGGCTTTTTCCAGGTTTGTTACAAGGACAGTAAATGCCATGTGCAATGTGAACCTTGATAACTCTTCTGTCTCATGTGATCATCAAAAAGTGATATCACAATGAAAATAATGTGCCACCTTTCCTGGCCATTGGTACCCATTCTCACAGAGGCATATTCAGCAATCTTTCCACAGGCAACAATGCTAGTGTAAGCACACTGAAATAAGTTAGTTGCACCAAGGATGTAGATGATCAAGGTAGGGGATGTTTGGAAATTATTACATTTTCCAAATGTCAACATTTATTGCTGTTTTTAGCTTCTTACTGAATGGTCATTTACAATTCAAATAACAATTCTAAATTATTCTGAATTTTGGTGATCATTTCCCCCTTTTTCCTCCCCAAAATTGGGGAGAAGGGTGGGGGCAAGGAGTTTGTATTATTTTACTAGGTCTACTCAGGAAGGACTTCAGCACTTTACCTTGATATTTAAAGCCAGTGCTATAAGAGAAGTAGGCTGAGAAGCTGACACATTCTTTCCAACTGTGTGGCCACTTGCTTTAGGGCGATGATGTACATTGCTCATAAGAAAAGAAACTTAATTCATTACCTCTTACTTCCACTGACTCCTAGCAGTTCAAAGGTTAAGAAAATGCTGTGCTTCTTAAGAACATTTTAACAAAGGGAGCTCTTTAAAGCTACCAGCCACACAGGTTCCCATACAAGTAAAATGATACATTCTGTACCTGGAAGTTGTAAACACTCCGTAGACTATTGGATTTTTAGGGTCCTTTGAGTTCATTAGAAACACATCCTCTGTAATAAAACAAAAAAAAAAAGAAAACCAGTAAAAACATGGCCATTTCAGTAGTGCAGCTACTAGATAATGGTTCTGTGATCAGAAGGATTTTGACTACTTACGGAGTTCATCAAAATGAGTATCAATGCCATTCGGCCCTGGCACAGAACAAATAAGGCGTGCTTTAAGGAAAGTTGTCCATTTATTAACAAGGCTTCTGTGTCCACCAAAGTCATTCTAATAGAGGAAATATTCTGCATTAGCTTTTGGAAATACCCCTGTTTTAAAAGTCAGTTGAATATTTTTTTTGGGGGGGGGGACGACTAATGAGTAAGAATGTGTTTACTTAAATATCACATAATCAACTGTTTTATGCACCGTAAAGACTCTTGTTTTATCAACACATAGATGCTTCAATTTACCATGGTGAATGCATTTGATATCATTATGCATTTGATACCATTTGCAAAAATGATTCCTAAAACACCCTAACTTGGAAAGAGAGAGAGAGAGAAATCTGGACAGACTAATATTAGCCTATTCTGATTTAGAGCTTTTGTTCTTCAGGTTTCATACAAGGTTTCACCCTACCCAACATTAATAAGGGTTAAACAGTTAATTATTCTTTACTGAAAATAAGCAAAGCAGACCCATATGTTTCAGTAGATCAAAGTAGTAGAGGTGGCAGGGTGGTGGCATAATTGCAGAGATGGGAAAGGCAGCAGACTAAAGACCCTGTGAAGGTGAGTGTATAATTTTTCAAACTCCAGTTTCTTGATTTTAAGAGATAATGACTTTGAACCAAAGATTAATGTGAAACTCTATCTTAAACACTGTGTTTACCAAGACTACCAATTTTCATGGATATCACTTAATTTGTAAAAATCTTTTAAAAGGCTCCAAAAAAAAATAAATAAATAATTTGACAGTAGGGATGAATGAACCCATTTGCAATCATTAAGAGCTTGGTGAATCCTTGCCCATTTCTTGAATTTAGCCCAAACAATTATTTGACTCTACCTTTAAGGCTAAGTGCAGACATTCAGGGAGGTAAGGGGGAGTTTGGATCAGGTTAAAAATGGTCACCTGATCCAACTTATTTTGCCCAGATGCAGACATTACACTGAGACCCGGTCTCAGTGATCGGAAATCAATCTATATCCATAACCTTACAGAAGTTCAGCACAAATAGACTGGTCTAAAAATGACAGTACCAAGTCTAAAATAGACCTGGACTGATGGACACTCAAACTTAATCTAAGTTAGGTTGCTGCATCAAAGCTGTGCAGCCCCAGGGCTGGGAAAGCCCAGCTGCTGGCCCCAGCCTTGGGCTGCACTTTTCCTACCTGCCTTCCTGGCAACCGGCTATTTTCAGCCCCCTTGGCCCCTTCTCTCCCACCAACAAACCAGCCTTGCACTGAACTACCCATCCTGCAAGCCACTATGGGTGCTTTTATCGGTGTTCACTGCTGCCAGTAGCCAAGGAAGTAAGTATCAGTGAAGAGAAGGGATGAGGGGGGTAGGTTTGCCAGGAGAGGGTGTTGGGGGGGTGCTAAAAACAGCCCCTAGTCCTCTCTCCAATGTGCCCTGTGAACCCTGTAACCCCCCTGATCTCACTAAACCCTAGGACCCCAGCAGCCCCACAGATGCTGCCTGCCTCCCCACCCTTCCGATCCTCCCAGTCTGTCCTGTGGATGCTGCCTATGCCCCTATCACTCCCATGGATCCTGCTTGCCCCCTCCTCATCCTCTCATGGACAGCCCCCAATCCTGCCCCGCTCCCCGCAAACCTACTTCCCTGCCTCCCACCCTCAATTGCCCAGCCCCGCTCACTGGAACTTACCTTAGATTGGGTGCCCATTTTTAATGTGATCTAACCACCACCTAACCCCCCAAATGTCTGCACTTAGCCTAAGGGGTTTATCTTATATGGGAACTGGAATGTATCAAAATACATAAGAAAATTTGTAAACTTCTAGCCTATTTGGGAGCAGGAAGTGCCATATTTCTTGCAGATACCTTTTTAGAAGTCAAGCCGTTCTGATAATTTTGGTACAAGGCATCATAAGCTTGTGCTGCTTCTCCAAACAGACCAGAATTGAACCCTTAACCTCTACTTGTCTCCTATGTTTATGTGAAACTATGAAAGACCTCAGCTTCACTACACTGCCAATGCTAATACATAATAATTTACAGGAAAGAAAACGAGTTAGTTATAACACTCTCACAACTTAAAATAAGGGTATTCAATCTCACTCAATTTGTCATTATTTTACCTTACAGATCTGCCCAATTCTGGCATGGGTGGCTTTTCCAGAGTGCTCCCCATCAATTGCATTTTCTCGGAAAAAGAAATAGATTTTGTCATCTTCTGGGTTGTCACTCTCAGGTATTAAGTGGGCACTAATAAACCTGGGATCTGAAAAGAAAATGTCAGTGTACGTGTCAGTACACAATGAGTTAAATCTTTTGTCTTATTTATATGATTAGAAATCCATCATCGGTCTTATGTCCCATGAACCATTTTTTACATCAGTTAAGCAACTAGAAATGTATTGTATTTTTGGACAGCCCCTCTCAGCAATACATGAGAGTTATTTATCTCCATCTCATATCTTGTAACTCTACTTTAGGAAGCAAATGCAAATGCTATAAAAGAGAAAAAAATCAAGGGGAAGAAAGAGAGAATTGGAAAAAAACAAGATGCCAAGCCTCAAGCATTAATCTTTGATGCTCCTGCCCACCTCCATTTCCTCCTCCTCCTGCCCTCACCCCCACAATCATAAGTGTTTGCTCTTTGAACCCACTTGCTTGGATAGGGCCTACACCATACACACTCACTTGCAGCTTATACCTCCAGTAAATAGCAGTGCTGGATATGGGTATTTCAGAAATTCAGAGCATATGAGGCAAAGTAATACACATGATAAAAGAAGCAAAAAAACACAATCAAAGCTACTGGGAAATAGGGTTAGATCCTGCAAATAAATATAAGCAATTTCCATCTGTGGATGATCTGGCCTTCTATTGCATTTTAACTCAATTTTTCACCATCTTCAGGACAAAGGAGGCATATCAAACAGTATTACCACCCTGTTATTCTCCTTCAAGTATTTTACATCCTGCTGGGATAACTGACTTTGAACTACACTTAACTACTCACAGTCCTATTCTGGTATGAAATTACAAGCTGTTTGGGGTATCAGGTATAACAGTGTATTCTTAATGTACTAAATATTATTATGTATTATGTATATTACTATATAATCATAGTCATAATGAGTATGTATACACAGTGCATGGCAGTGCTGTGTAGCGATACCCCAGTTAGCTCCCACACTGTAGTGCACTCTCACTGTGCCTGAAGAAGCACGCCTATGCCTGAAATCTTGCAGAGAACAATTTTTTCCAACTATTCAGTTGGTCTTATAAAAGATATCACATTACTAACCTTATCTTGTTACCTGAACTAATTTTAGTATTGAATAACATTATCTGGGTTAAGTAGCCCTACTGCTTGAGGCACAGCACTGCAATAATATAGTTACACTGCTCTGCAGTCTGAACTACTAACTTTGCGTGCTATGGAGACACAGCAGACCCAGCATGGATATCTCTGCATCACCTGGTATAGACAAGCTTGCTGATTCACCCTGGTCTGAGTAGTAAGTCTGTCGCTTTATCAAGAATGTTTGTAAGAGCAAGGATAGATGAAATATTATGCAGTAATTATGTGTATGAATATATTGATGCATCTATATTTATGTATGCACACTCAGGCAGGGGTGAACACATACAAACCAAGTACATGGGCTATGGTGATAGCCACGTGATAAACTGTAGAACCAGGCATCTTGGACCATTTTATCTGCACTTGACTGATGAATGCAGCCCTTCCAGGACTAATTCTAACATTTAAGATCACCAAGGAACTTTAAACAGGTGCAATATATTTAAACACACACATACATTACAAATGTGCTATGCTTCCCTTTTTCTCTCACTCCCCAAATTATAGTGGCCCAAGATCCAAAATGGATATTATTTGGTCCCACACCAGTAACATGTTTAAGATCAAATATCCTATTTATGTTCCACAAGGGCTTCAAATAGCAGCTTTATAGCATTAAGAATCAAGGGGAAACCATTTCTGAGAGTCAGATGATTTGTTCTTACAGATTTGGCTGGCCATGAAATATTAAATTCCAAAATACATCAGTGTCTTATCATGCATCAAAAAACTAGCTTTGCACTGGATTGTGCCACCCCCATGAGTAGTCCAGCTGAAGTCAGTGGTGCTGCTCATGTGAAAAGGGGTTACCTAAGGTGCTCCTTTTTAAATATTTATGAATTTCTAAATGTATTATAATTGTCTCTCTTTCTCCCTAGGGAGTCTGGCTTTACAGTAGGAAAACTTGACACAGAATAAATAATTTAAAAAGAAAAAAAATTCTGTAGCACAACTGTGCCCCATGGGTGGCCGTGATGCCCCCCTAGTGGCCATACAATTCCTGCCCTAGTCTGTCTCTAAGGTACCCTCCTTTTCCTTTCACTTGCCACACACTGATATTCTTAAGAGATGTAGAAAGGGAGACTGCTCATAGGTCTTAGAGCAAGCCTTGATCTATCTTCCTGTAAGCAGGTCCCACTCTCTTAGACCCGCTGCCCCCAAGCAATGCTTCCTGGCCCATATGTGCCCCAGGGCACCCAGTGCCTTATGGGCTATTCACTGCCACCCACCTTCCCTACAGCTGTGCCCATGCCTGGCAGGTGTTGCGAATCGTTTTGGTGAGCCTCAGTCTCATTTCATGCTTCATCTCTCTGCCCTTCTCAGTCTCCACCCCTCTTGGGCTGCTGGGCCCCAGGCCCTAGTCTCTGCTCCTCTTGGGCTGTACTTCTGCTTGCACACTGCCCCGGGCAGGCTCAGGCTTCATGTGCCTTTCTGGGACCTACTGCCCTCCTCCCATAGTCCCACCCAGTCCACTGATCTCTGCCTTTCCTAGATTGTGGGTTGTGGGCTTAGCAAAGCACCCCTGCCACCATTTTGAAGCATGGGGATGCTAAATACACGAGGCACTGAGGCTGCTGGAGCATGCTAACTAAAATGCTAACTAGCATGGCTCCTGCAAACTCTGTTGAGTCTGCTCTGACACGCTATAATTACAGTGAGTTGGAGCAGATGTCTTGCACATCTACAGGCACCCTTAGGAAGTCAACAGAAAAAGCTTGGTTAGGATAATGTAAAAGTATATGTAGTCAGTCAGAAGTGGAAATTAAATGATAATGTAGATTAACTGATAATGATCTGCAGGCTACTATGGATTATTATGACTGATTCAAATCTTCATATATAATTACTGGTTTTATATAACTAAAGATATGCCTACAACTACTAAGACGTGTATAGACCTTTTATCATTGTGAACAGTCATAAAAACCCTGTGTACCATGTTCTTTCCCAGGAAGCAATATTTTCATTGACTATAAAGAGCAGATGAAAGTTTTTAGTAAAAAGGATTTAGGATGTACTTTTTATTTAAATGGTTTTACATGGATTCCCTGTTTCCAAGACTCAAACAATCAATGTAGACAAGTGTTTAAACAATAGCATCCATCAAAAGAACATGTCTGAAGCATGTTTAAGCATGATCAAAGGGGCAATGAAACCACACTATAAACATGAACATCACTAATGACAATGAGAAACATTCCTCTGATGTGCTAGTCAATGCAAATATGCTAAATACAGAAATTTTCATTTAAAAGTATCAAGACAAATCATTAAAGAAGCACAGAACCTTTTGGCAATTTCCTTTTCTCAGTTCTTTTGAGACTGGGCCCCCCAACTGACACCTTTTGCAAGCTTCACTTTTTGCATAACCCTTTGAGATTATCAGTTTTTTTTAGAAACGTCATTGCCAGTCACCCATTAAATTGTCCTTCATGAGATAGCTGTCACTTTATGAGAAAGACACCTTGGTCCACCTGCCTTTATGATTTATATTCTATTGTTTGCTTAGTTAAGTAATGGAAACATGTTTTGCCTGTCTCAGCACTTCAGGTTCAGATAAAGCTAAGGGACAAAAAAATCAATCTGCATTTTCTCTTTCACAAGCATAATTTCTATACAAATAACAAAACTAGAGCAGGAAAAACTATAAAAGATAGCAAGATTGGATTCTGACTGAACCATATTAACATGTTAATGATGACATATAAAGTAGAAGGCACAGAAATTGCTTCAGTTGTCAAGACTCACTAACTAATTCAAGGAAATAGAAGTCAGGGTCATCCTTTCAGAGAAGCAAAAGGGCAGCGCGCACAGAAGATTTTCTGTAAAGAGGTTGAATTGGATGCCCTTTTTACAGTATATTTATGGCCATAATGACAAATTGCCTCAGATCACAGCTAAAAGACTTAAACTACAGGGAAATTTTATGCTCCGTAAAGTTGCAGTTACTATAATTTAATGAAAATTACTGGGGGGTGACTGCAACCTCAGTCAGAGGTAACCAGACTGGGAATCTTAAGTTAAAAATTTAGCAACAACAAAAATAGACAGCTATTCAAGTTTCAATACACGCAGTGCCTGTCTGCAGGGGCACAGCATATGCCAGAAAGCAGGAACTGTCCTCAGAAAATCTGAATTGGAAATCATAGCCAGCTCTACTGTTTACAGAGACTGATAGCCCCTGTCACCAGTGTGTGCAGCAAAGCTGTAAGTCCTTGCTGCTTTTGCTAAGGTGACTGGAGGACAACATTTTTAATACTCGATTACAAGAGAAGTAACTTGTCTTATGCTCTTATGACCGTACTTTACAAACCTGCCAAGCACTGAATGGTGTGCTTCTAAGGCTCTTAGCCCAACACGGCTACAACCAACAACCTTTAAGTCTCCCTCACGTTTTAATTAATTCTTTTTCAAACATTTCCTTTGCTAATAAGTCAAGCAGACGTTTTAGGTGGTGGCCTTCACTCTCACTTACAGTTAAACCCATTTACATCTCTCTGATAGCATAAATGACTAAAAGAGATGGTGACAGTGGATCCTGAAGAGTACCTACTGCTATGGTGGTGTAAATTATGCATATCTGCAGCTTCTCTCTAGGTCTTGTGCAAATATGCTAAGCAAGGATTTTCAGTTTTTGACTATTAATATGGGCCATTTTTACTGTGAGAAACTTTAGAATAAAACAAAACCAAACAAACTCTGCTAATCAAGCTTGAAGGCACATAGCTTGGGCAGGGACAAATACTGGGCGCCTGTTTCTGGTCGTTAACTTAGCTGTGATACACAGCATAAACACAACACTGACAAAGACAGTGTTAATGAGATAATAGATAACTGAATTAAAGGATACACTTGCAGAATAAAAAGTTTCCTTCAAAAAAGGTCTGGGAAAGCTTGGGGTGGGAAAC